CATGCCCTTGAACAAGTTTCTTCATCTCTTCCCACTCAGCTTTCTCACAGATAACGGAGCGAAACCGGAGCTTACAAGGTTAGGATCTGCAAAGCCCTTTATCTAGCTTTGCACGGTAGGAAACTGATGACCCACTTGGGTGCTGTAAAAATAGAGCTTTTAATCATAATTCTTTTTCCTAAACAAAAGTTAACCCTCAGTATAACAAATGCCACGAAATGCCTTGCACATAAATGCAAATACCTACACTTACTACTTTACTGATAGGAGCATTATCAGAAGTTGAGACCATATTCCATGCCATTTACAACTTCCTTTAGATTTCAATTTTACAAGGAAAATATGGGACACAGTTTTTTGCTTTTTACTTTTTGGGACACAATTTTTAAGATGGGATCAGACTAGTTTATAAGAACCTTAAATAAATTTGATCACCAACATAGAAACAGCTCATAGCTGATTTTAGGAGGTGGTAATCAACTGGAGTAGGATTGTCTGGGTTCACATCTGAATTCTCCCTAGCTTCTATAGCTAAATCAAGCTACTTATGCAGTTCTGTGACTCAGTTTCCTATTTGTTAAAAACTCAACCAAATATGTATTAGATACCTACTAATTGTCAGACATTTACACACACACACACACACACACACACACACACACACACACACACTTCCCATCAGGATTGAAATGTGTACCGAGGGCTTAGAATTAGCTGACAACGTAGCAAAGTCCATAGAGGATGAAGTTGTAAACAGTGGCAGCTGGAGGTTGACCACCTAAATCTAAATCTTGGCTTTGCCACTTCCTACTAGGTGATCTTGGCTTTCTCTTAACTCCTCTGTGCCTCCCCTTCCTCAGGGACAAGATGAGAGTGATAGCAGCCTAGCTCAAAGGGTTGTTGAAAGATTAAACCAATTGATAAACGCAAAGTACCTGCCACAGAAGCCAGAACCTAGAAAATGCTCCTGAAGTGTTAACTGCAGTTTTTATCACGCAGTGCCCATGCCGGCATATAGAAGGCACTCAGCCAGTGGTCGCTATTATATATTTGCCTTGGATTTTTTTGGCCAAGTAAATTATGTGGTAGTGTTAACCTTTTTCTTTTAATCTTTATGGTTGAAAGTGTGGATGAAAGGGTGCTAACCTAACAAGCTCAGGGGGCGCCTGTTGGGCAGTCTTGCAAACTCAGAGACCTAAAAAAACCACAAAAGATGGTCTGAAAATTAAATATTTAACTACAAACAGGTTACAGTGGGCAGTCACGTGCTAGGCCGATATTTTCCATGACAAAGATGAACTTAGATCTTCTTTAGCCTTTTTGCCTCTAAGATAACGTATCTGTGAGATGTCTGGTAACTCCTTTTTCTGGAGCCCCTGGGGCACAACCAAAAGTGGGTGCCGGAACAGATATCACAAATTCCGTCATTATCATGTTAATTGTTCCTGCACTCACCTAAGTATGTGTCTATCATTTTACTTTTTATCCAATTCCAAATGTTTTCCACTGCTTTGCTTTAGCCCACCTCCTTAATCTATTACCAGTGGATTCCATGCAACCCACCTATGTCCCTCCTTTGATTGCAATGTATAAATACAGATGTAACCCGCCATTCTCTGGAGCATTATCTCAATTTATTGAGGCTCTGCTTCCCAGCATAAGTCGACAGGTTGGCCCAAATAAACTCACTAAAATTCTTCACAGGTTTCAATGGTTCTTTTTTTTTCGTTAACCAAGTATCACAGATCCTCCTTTCCCCCCCTCCATTAACTTCTTCCAGCCTGCTCCCGTTCTCCCTGCCCCCTCCTGTATTAACTTTTAAACACTGGGAATGTTCATTAAATTTTTCTAAATATAAAACTTAAAAATATGACACTAGATCCCACAAATGAATTATAGCTCAATATAAGCTTGTTATAGTTAGGTTAGGTTGCTAGTTGGCTATATATATACATCGTATTTTTCGGCCCATAAGACGCACTTTTTTTCCCCCAGAAGTGGGGGGAAAAAGTCCCTGCGTCTTATGGTCCAAATATAGCCTACACATATACTTTAAAAAAAGTTTTTTTACTTGCCCGGCTCTGTGTGGTCTCTGTGTGCTTGCCTGGCTCTAAAATGGTTCTAAATGCTGCTGTTTACTTTACAGGGTTGATTACATGTGTTTATGACTGTGATGTTGGGTTTTAATGCACATAAAATATTTTAGGACACTATTTGTTTCAGAATCTTTTTTTCTTCATTTCCCTTCTCTAAAAACTGGTGCATCTTATGGTCCGGAGCGTCTTATGGGTCTTATGGTCCGAAAAATACGGTGTGTGTGTGTGTGTGTGTGTGTGTGTGTGTGTGTGTGTATATATATATATTTTTTTTTAGAGAGGGAAACATTGATTTGTAAGTCCAGTTATTTGTATAGTCATTGGTTACTTCTTGTATGTGCCTTGACCAGGGATTGAACCAGCAACCTTGGCATAGGACTATGGTGCTAACCAAGTGAGCTATCTGGCCAAGGCCTGTTGACTTTAAAATGCTTCTTAGACATTTTCATGGGTCAGCCTCTTCCAGGAGTGAAGCTTTACATCACTCTGGAACCTCTGCCCAACACTAGTGAGGGATGCAGTTCTCAATCTGGCCCATAAACGCCTCCAATGATTCTCTCTGCAGTGGCTCTAGTGCCTGAGGCAGTGCCCTCCCCAGCTCACCTCACTAGTCTGTAACATGTGAAAGTATAAATGGAGGTACTTTTAGAGGTTGAAGCTGCCATCCCAGCGGAACTGCCTTACGTCTCACTCTTCAGCCCTTTAGAAGGTTCCAAGTGGGCAAATTAGTCTTTGTACCGGCCCAAAGCAGCTTTTGTTCCAAACCGTTTGCAAAGCTACCAAAAAGCATACATCATACCCCTCTCATTCTTTAGAATTAGAATCACTGTTAGCTTTCCTGCACCTGCAGAAATTCCTTCCTTCTGTTCACCTTTTGGAACATTTGGGATTCTGTCTGAATGGGCGTATAGCAGCTTTGTGGCAGAAAAATGGTTCTATGGCAAATCTCACAAGGTGATCTGTTCATAAACTCCTAACTGGGCAGGTCATGGTGGGCAGTCACAACCCACGCATATAGTAGGAAGAAAGCGTATCTTTGCCTAAGCAAGCCTGTTTCGTTTCTGTGCATCTAAATAGGTCCACAGACCTTTGAAATGCTTCTTTTCACACTCCCCTCCAAAGCCAACCACCCTCAAGGGCAGTCTTAACTATTCTGTAATCCAATCCCCACCTAGCCTTCTCCCACCTGCATGTAATCTTCCTTACTCTCCAATGCGTTAAAAAAAAACCGGCAAACTACCATTCTGGGAGTATCAATTCTTATAGGTTTGGATGTTTATGTCAATGGATTCTTTTCTTTTGCATCTCAAATAAGTGCTTATTTCCTCTCAAAGAAGTGTAACTGTAAATCCATGGCTTTGTATCAGTAGCAAATATTTATGCAGTAAGGATACATTCAATGTGAAAATTGAAGCCATTTCCCAGAATTCTCTGCAGATTACTTAAGGAAAAAAAAAAAAAAAAAAAAAAAAAAAAAAGCATAAACTAGAGAACCCTAAAACCATTTATATATTTTTATTTGGAAATGTTTATATCAGTACAGTGAAACTAAATTTTAAGAGACACTGGATGTCATCAGTTTAGATATCATTAGTTTATTATAAAAGAGACACGGAAATTATTTACATGATGAAAGATTTCAGAACTTCAATGGAATGGGCAGCTTCACATGATGCCAGTTCAATAGTGATTTATTTCAGTCTACATACTTTCCAAGTATGTCACCATCTCTAAATAAGAAATAGTCCTGCAAATAGAGAAACCATTAGGTAAGAAAAAAATAGCAAACAGATAACTTTTTAAAATTACTAAGTTCTTAAGGAAATATATTAAGTTTACATACCTTGTCATCTATAACTACTTTGGTGCCTCCATATTCTGGAAGGAGAACTTTATCACCAACCTTCACGCTAACAGGTTGAACCTCTCCACCCTTAAGAAAATGAGGATATGCATTAGCAAAGCATGTAGCCCACCGAACATTCACACCTAACAGTGGTTAATCAAATGTGCTCATTCAAACCAATTGTTGGAAAAGGACTTGATAGTGAAGTGATATGATAACTACAACTGTAGTTCTTCACTTCAAGTTATCACTGGAGAGTTAGTTACATGTTGAAACAATACCCACACGGTGGCTTAAACTAAAACCTGATTTCAGTGTACAAGTTCAAGTTATACAGGGAAAAAGCTAACTTTAGCTAACTTTTTAATGGTTAAATATTAACATAACCTATGGACCGTTTGAAACAAGCCAGTTTTTAAAACCATGTATACGCGATCATGTTTAAATTCAGCATTCAAAAATGTAAGAAAAATGTCCTGAGTTGGAACATACTGCTTTTGGGATTCCATTTCCTTTTCTCAAAAATAGATCTGGAGAGAGGGACTGAAGCACAGGGCTCACTTCCTAAAGGCTTCCTATTCCTGGCTCCTTGCTAGAACTTTCTTGGAGGCAACTTGCAACAATACAGTTCACATATTTGACCCCAAGGGCATTATTGGTGTATTCTGGGTGACCCTCGGGGAGGCCCAAGATCTAACCAGTTAACCGGAACAGTCCAACCTGTTCGTTTCACAGGTGAGCCACGGAAGGTAAAAAGGTGGTTAGTGGGTTAGGCAGGGCAATTTCGGAGTTAGAGATGAGACCGATTCTTAAAAAAAAGCCCTCCTTCGGCAATAGTAAAGCATCATTTTGTTTCCATATTCTCGAACCTTCCACATAAAACGAGCAATTTCATTTTACAATCATTTTCATTCAAGGGCCAGATCAGACGTGATGAACTAAAGGAAACGACCCGAAAACAATACAAGCTCCTGAAAAGGCTACTTTTAATAACCACCAAGAATTTGGTTTTCCTTCCGCCACACATACATAACAGTCCCAACGTGGCTCCCGCTTACCTTTCCTTTGGAGCCCGATCCAACAGCGACCACTGTGGCATGCAATACTTTTCCTTGCGCCTTTTCTGGAAGCATGATGCCGCCTTTGGTGACCGTTTCCGCGGCGCTCCTCTCCACCAGGACTCGGTCGAAGAGGGGGAGGAACTTCCTAAAGGCCTGTCCTGCCTGGAGGGAGGGAGAGGGGCCCGATCTGAAGCCACAGCACGCGACCAGGTTGCGCCCGGGCCAGGCCGCGGCTAACGCACCGCGTGGCCCCGGAGAGGACGCTGGAAGCCTGTATACAGCCTGTCCCCCCTTCTTTCCCCGTCCAGGCCCCCTCCCCTCTGCAGGGCCAGCAGTAAAAGGCTCCCCTCGTTTATTCCAAGGTCAAACGTCTCCTTTCCCGGCTCAGGACGTCTTCGGCGGACACTGAAGTCCACCTCGCCGCCCGAGGCCACGCTTTCTCCCGACCCTGCCCATCCGCGAAGGCCCTGCAGGAGGGCAGCGGGAGGGCGGCCGCGCGCGCCCCGGTTCCCGCCCCGCAGCCCCACGCCCGCTGCACACACGCGCGTGCAAGAGCCCTGGGCGGAGGAAAAGGTCGGGGGGCCCGGCGACCCCAGGTTTCGGGCAGGTGCGGGTTCCCGAGGGACGCCTTCCCCCAGCCAACGAGAACCGTCCGGGCTGCCCACGCCCCGGGCCGGCCGGTGCCCACGCGGGTCTCACCATGACTCCGACCGCCGCCGCAGCCGCCTGTGCTCCGCTGTCGCGCCGCGGCCGCAAGGAGAGAGCCGCCGCCGCCGCTGGCCACGTGAGCCCGAGGCGCCCAGCGCGCAGGCGCCGCCCCGCCGCCCCGCCCCCCGGAGGGCGGCAGCCGCGCCGCGCGCCGCGATTCGCCCCGAGGCCTCGGCTCGGCCCACTTCCGCGGCGACCGGGAGGCGGAAGAAAAGGGGAGCTCTTTCTAGGCTTTTCCAGGCCGCCGGCCCCGGGGAAAGGACGCTCCCCGCGGGCCCTCTCCCGGAAGTGACGTCACGTGACCCTTGACCCACAGAGAGCGCAGCCCCTTCCGGAACGTTCTAGAAGCGAGCGCCGCCCCAGAACTAGGCTAAGTCGACCGAGAAGGCTGGGGCGGCCAGCCGGGTCCCCGCGCGGGTAGGCAGGGGCGGGGCCTGCGCGCCGCCGTGCCGATTGCCGGGCCGGGGCCGGGGCCGACGGGAGGCGGGGGCGGCGCCCGCGCACGCGTGGCCGCGGGGCGGGGAGCGCGGAGGGAGGGGCGCCTCTCATTGCCGTGCGCGCCCTGCACTCTGTCCCTCACTCGCCGCCGACGGCCCGCCTCGCCGCCCGCACGTCCTGCCGCTGCCCCGCAGGTACGCGGCCGCCTCTCCCCGGCGCCCCGGGTCCTGGAGCGGCCCTCCTGCTCCTGGAATGGGGCCTGGGCGGGCCGACCCGGGAGAGCCCTGGGTTCCCCCCGGCGCCGCAGGCTCGGATCGGCTGGCCCAGGCCTCGCGGGTCGGGCCGGGTCCACGCGGTGCCAGTCACGTGCGGCGGGGACCGCTCGCCGGGCCGGCGCGGGGGAGGGCTGGCCCGGGGTGCATGTGGGGTGTGGGGGGGGTGCACCCCGGGGGTCCTCGGATGCAGCCAGCCCACGGCAGGCCGCCTGCAGGGCTGCGGGGAGAGGGGCCGCGGCCGCGTGCGGACTCGCTGGGGCCCCGCGGGCTGGGCGGGGGCGGCGCCCGCACCCTTGACCTTGCTCGGGGCGTTCGGAGGGGAAGACACGTGGGGCCGTCGGCGTGGCCGGGCCGCGGCGGCCGGTGGGGGGGCCTGGCCGGGGCTCACGGGCACGTTTTGCTCAGGTTTCTGCAGAGTCAGGGATGGTCTCACTCCGCTGACCGCCGGGTGCATAGCCTGCTCCTTCCCCGCGGACTCGGGGTCTCAGGGGCCCGTGGGGAGTGGGGTGGCCCTGAAGGCCATTTTAGCAGCGGAAGGTGAACACGTTTTTATCAGTAGCTGCAGGGTAGGCCCTGGGTTGGATTTGGGGTGCTGTAGGGCAGGCGTGGAGGTGGCCCTGGCGCTAGTCCCCCGCGTCCTGGGGCCGGGGCGCGTTCCGGGGCCCAGGCATCGTGCCGGGCCCAGGTCAGCCCAGCTCACATCTAACTGTTCGGTGGCTCGGGGGAGGGGGGAGTTCGGGTTGTGATGAACTGCTGACATGCCTGTTTCCTCCTCTCCCCAGAAAATGCTTCGATTACACACAGTCCTTCGCCACTTGAGGCCCGTGTCCAGGGCACTGGCTCCTCACCTCACTCGGGCTTATGCCAAAGATGTAAAATTTGGTGCAGAGGCTCGAGCCTTAATGCTGCAAGGTGTAGACCTTTTAGCCGATGCTGTCGCAGTTACTATGGGGCCAAAGGTATCCGTATTCCTATTTTAATGTCATTTATAGTTCTGTGAGTTAATATCTTACTGATGGCAAATAGTCATGCTGAGGACAGTACGTGGGTATCCATTTTTGAGGAAACCCAAGTTACATAGTAAGGTCCACATTAATGGTTAATTTTTTTTTTTTTTTTCTTATATGTAAGAGTCTTAAAACTTAAATTTGGGGCACTTCATTTTGTATAATGTCTGATGTAATCTATTGGTAACTCAGAGTTTAAGATGGATTCCTAAACTCCAGGTAGGGTTAACCTTGCTTGCCAGCTTTTGTTAAATTTTGGATTGTTTCCAGTAAATACCAACCATAGAGGAAAGGATGGTACTTAGTTCCTGAAATACCTAATTATGTTTGTGAAGGTTCTAGTTTTACCTACTTTTTTTCTGCTGTCCCTTCTGTTCCAAAACACATTGAAAAATTTTGTCTCGCTTAACATGAGACTGCCGAGTGAGTGAGTGGTAATAAGTTGAATAGGCCTTTGAAGGTTGTGCACAGTGGAGTGATGGTTCATTTTAATTTGAAAACAATTCAAATATCAAAGTGATCCAAACTGCATAAATAAGGCATTGAGAAGAGACATATATAATACTTTAAACAATAAAGAATTTTTTTTTTTTAAATAAGGCATTAGCATGCCTTCCAAATATCATCTTTGGTTCAAATCAAAAGCTGCCAGTACTCTGCACCACACTTGAGATTTAATGTTCAATGACTCTGCAAGAGTGTACTGAGCTTGCCTTGCAGTTACTATTTTAATAACTACATTTTAAAGCAAGTTAAAAGTAAGTTTTCACATGACTTTCAAGGTAGCAGGTACTGGGGAAAACTTTGTGTAAATAATGTGAAGAATTTCGTATTTTGAGTTTTTATGAATTCATTGGAGCATAACTGATTACAGTTGCCGGGAAGATCTCTGTAAACTAAGATTGATGAACTTGCCCTTGAGATTTATGCTGCAGATCTTCAAGTGTGTGGTTCTGTAACTTTTCCCTCTGCAATTACAGGGAAGAACAGTGATTATTGAACAGAGCTGGGGAAGTCCCAAAGTAACAAAAGATGGTGTGACCGTTGCAAAGTCCATTGACTTAAAAGATAAATATAAAAACATTGGCGCCAGACTTGTTCAAGATGTTGCCAATAATACAAATGAAGAGGCTGGGGATGGCACTACCACTGCTACTGTGCTGGCACGCTCCATCGCCAAGGAAGGCTTTGAGAAGATCAGTAAAGGTGCTAACCCGGTGGAAATCAGGAGAGGTAGGAATGCTCTGCATTATCAGGCATTGTTTCGAACTGTCCATTAAATTAGGAAGTGGATTCTTATTTCTCTTCCTAAAAATTCTCATGCTGGATATTCCTTCAGCAAATGGTGATTGAATGCCAGGCGGTGTGGTGGGCACTATGCAGGAGGAAAATGTGACTGACGTTTCCTGTTATCAATCTTCCTTACACCTCCCCCACCATCCTGAAAGCCAATAATTATAATGGAAGATAACAGTGTGTGCTGTGTACCATGAAAACAGTAAACTTCTGGGTATTAGAGCAGAGGGAGATTAAACCATTCTGATGCTTTACTTTAGTCAGTAGAGCATAATAAGCAGCTAAATCACCAAGGATGTCACAGGATTTTTTAAAAGCAGATTTTTACTTCTCTCTCCTTTTTTTAAAATTGATTTGAGAGAGAAACATTGATTTTGTTCCACTTATTTATGCATTCATTGACTGCTTGTATGTGCCTTAATCTGGAAATGAACCAGCAACCTTGGCAACCGAGACACCTGATCAGAACCTTTTCTTACCTCTTAACAACACATACTTTGTTATTGGTCTGCATTTCTTTTATTATTGCTTGTTTCAGGAAGCTAGACCACTATTTGTTATTTAATTTGAGTCCTCACCAGAGGAGTGAGGATATTTTTCCCATTGATTTTTTTTTTTTTTTTTTTTTTTAAGAGAGAGAGATCCATGTGACAGGCACATCAATTGATTGCCTCCCACACATGCCCCTTCCAGAGGCACATTGGATTGGGAATGATTTATACAGAATGAATTGAATGGTTAGATTTTTGCAAATTATACACCTCATTTTTTTTAGTCTATAATTTTCAAAATATTTTGGCTTTGTGGGACTTGATTAAAGTTCCTGTTTCAGTGCATGCCATCCAGCTTCATGGGATTTGGAAAAATTCTGGCACAGAGGCAGTTGTGTAGGCTGTTAAGACATGAAAACATATAAATCAATTTTTATGTAACATATAGACATAAGAGAATAAGGATTGTAATGATGTTTATTCTTGACCCAGGTGTGATGTTAGCAGTTGATGCTGTAATTTCTGAGCTTAAGAAGCAGTCTAAACCTGTGACAACTCCTGAAGAAATAGCTCAGGTAGGGATTTTTCATAACATTTTGTGGTAAAGTAAAAAAAAAAAAAAAATAACATTTCATGGAAATCACAGACCAGTTTCAGAATAACAATACTACGTAATCACCTACATTGGAAGCAGTTTTTTTTACTAAATGTTTGCTAAAAATTTAAAAATAATTCAGTGGTCATGAGTCTTAATGGGCTGCTATGTTATTTCTGCATGCTGTAAGACTCATTTGTGTCTATGTTGCAGTATTGCCATGTTTGCCAAAGGAAAACAAAATAAAGCAGTCAGCCTCTTCACTGTTTTTGTTTAGAGAATAATTGCATGTTTGCTTCATGTCTTTTGAAAATAATGTAGCCAAATAATAAATTGAAAATGAAGTCCCTGTTCCTCTATTTACCCCCCCACCCCCCAACATATATCCGTTGGGAAGTTATTGGAAAAGGAGGGGGTGGGGTTTGATGGAGAACACTAGCATTACCTTGTAATTTGAAAGGTAACTTGATTGTTTCAGGTTGCTACAATTTCTGCAAATGGAGACCAAGAAATTGGCAACATAATTTCTGACGCAATGAAAAAGGTTGGAAGGAAAGGAGTCATCACTGTAAAGGCAAGTGCATTTTCCATGATAGCCTGAAATGAGATGTCAGCACAATTCCATGTGTTTCTAAAAGTGTGTTCTATTTTACTCCTTCATGTGTACTGTCAGCACCTATATAGAATAGAGTTCCTAACTGTGCTTTGTGTGAATTATTAGCCTTTGCTGTCAGAAATGAGTCCATCCTAACATAAGTGATACTGTCTTCCAGCTGTAAAAGTTAATTCAGATCTGCATTCTGAGAATTTTTTCAGTAGAGTAGGATGTCATGGGGATTTACATACTCCTACCTGGATCCCTTAAGTAAGACAAGTGGGTCAACTGGTTAGCCTGGTCTGTAGTTAGTTTTTGTGTTTCTTTAATGAAATTCATACAGCTCCTTTGATTATTTTCATAGGATGGAAAAACACTGAATGATGAATTAGAAATTATTGAAGGCATGAAGTTTGATCGAGGTTATATTTCTCCATACTTTATTAATACAGCAAAAGGTAAGAGCAAGTCAATGACGGAAATATTTTAAAAATATGTTATTTGCTATGTGTCAGACTGTTGGCATTAGTTGGTGTCGTATCTCTGAAAACATAA